TTATAAATCTGTTTTGCAAAGATCAGCCTGATTGGTGGTCACCTGAGCAGGTTTACCACCTGAGCAAGGACTTGGTGCTTCTCCTCAGAGACTCCGGCTGGGTGACAGTCTTGCTTCCCTTTAACTGGGGCCTCTGCTGCTCCGGGGCCGAGCCCCACCCCCACCCCACGTCCATGCATGGAAGCAGGACGTCACAGCCACAGCTTACGGAAACCGAGGACTTCTATAATACTGTTTGCTCTGTTTCTTAGTTTTTGTTTGTTTTTCCATGACAGAAATGGTCATATTTTCCACTCACAGGACTGTTCTTGAATTAGGTACTTGAGTTTGCATGTAATGGGTGAACATGGCTCTGTTACCTGCTTACTGTCCTTGTTGAGTGTTTTTGTAGTTTACTGACTTACGTTCCGTGTCTGATCCCCAGTATTTTAGCAAAACTGCAGATGATGAGGAGATGATTTACCCCAGTAGCGCCCTTCAGGCCCAGACTGCAAGGGGTTTTAACAGTTGATTAGTTTCCTAGGTTTATATATTTATGATCTCTTTCATTTAGAGTCAGGTGTCTGAAGCTAGGATGCAGGAAAGAGCTTTAAGCACCTCAACTTCCTGAGGTTGTATTTCAAATGTTCTATGTTCTATGTTAAATGCTACGTATGCCCCCTGCCCCGTCCCCAGAAGTGTAAGAACTGACACAGGATGACGTCTTTCCATTGTGCTTTTGTAAACTCGGGGGCAAGAGCCCTGTGGTGCGCGGTGGACGTTGTGCCCCGAGTCCAGACAGCTTTGCTACCTAAAGGTTTAACAACAAAACAAATAATTTACAAGCTGGAGTGAGCCGCTCCTTCATTCCTCAGCACCATCACCTGTGATTAGCTGTTTGTATTAAATATGTCAGTGTCAGTCCTGATTTTTTCTTTGCATTTTTATTTCTGGCACTTGCCTGATGGAGCCACTCGTCACTTTGATCACCTCCTAATCATCCTCCTAACCTGGTAATGAATCACTTACTGTTGAACTTAACTTGATTCAAACAGTTTTTCTTCATTACTTTCTTCACGTAAAAGCAGTCTGAAATCAAGTTCCATACACTCATTTCACCAGAAGGGCGAGTGAATTTAAAACTTGGCTGTGTTATCTTTACTCTGATCTCGAAGAATATGGGTAATTTCAGAAACGATGCTCGGCTTTTCTCTAGAGTCGGGTGGCAGCCGATGCTTCCTCCTGACCCATTCTTTCCTACACCTTAGATGTGAGACAGTTCTTATTGTTTCACTTGGAAAAGTGAGAAGATACTAGACAATGTCAACAGTTCATTTTGTCTCTGGCGTGAATCAAATGGACCAACCACTAGCCAAGAATATTTTTAATTTTGGTTAATTGACTGTATTTCCCCCTTACTATGCAGAGTCGGACTTAACCCTTCTGCTGTTAAGATTGTTCAGAGAGTGGATAGCTATGGCAACTGTCCTTTGGGATGTCCCACTGTAAGATGGGGAGTTATCTACCTCATAGGGCAGTGGTGAGTTTTAAAGAAGTTAACTTTGGTAAAGTCTCTAGCACAGTGCTTGGCACATAGTAGGGTGTGTTAATTTCTTTCCCTTCCCTGCAGGCCATTCACCTGCTCTTCCCTCTACGATTTTCCATAACACAGTTTTTACTTGGAACCAGCCTTCTGCCAAGAGTCTCAGTTTGGTTGTGTACTCCTACAACTCCTATTTTTGGCTTGACTTCCCTCTCCAGCTCCCAGTGGTCCAGCCACACAGTCGCCTATTGTACCAGCTGGTTGATGTAAGTCTATCCATCCTCAGAGGAACTTGGTTACTTACCAGTAGTTGTGTTTCTCTGAAAATGTAGCATCCTTGATAACTCACGTAGTTTTTTTCTTTATCACTGATGATGAATCATATATGGTAACTTCCTTGTGATGCTCAAGTTGGAACCAGAATTAGAGAATTTACTTTGTTGAGATAGGTGGTCTCCTAGTGAGCGCCTGAGCGCAGGACACGAGACTCCGATCAGGTAAAATGCTGTGCAGATCCACGACGTCAAAACCCTTTTCAGTGCTCTGCATGATAGGAGGCTTCATTATAGAAACTGTCAAGGGTGATACATTTTCAAAGAAAAAAAGTTACTGGTAAGTAACTGGGATTTTTGAATAATTTTCCTATAAGTCAATAAATAAGAATTCCCAAACTTGTTTTTACCAACAAATGCTTTTGCATTTGAATATTTCATAAATGAAAGGAATATGGTTTTTAGTTAAGGTTGACAGTTCAAGAACGGGACAGGTTTCTGGAGATGCTACTGTGTAGAGAATGAAGTGGTGTCGACCTGTAGCTTTCTAATTAGACGCTCTCTTAGCCTTAAAGGGAAACTCAGTGTGCAGTTCTCCGCTAGGGAGAACCAGCAAACGCAGCCTGCGCAGCCCAGGAACATTTTTTGAGTGCCTACTCTTTTTTGAGACACTGTGCTGAGTATCGTTGTGAGACAGAGAGGTGAAGCCACACTCTGCCTCCGCCGCTTCTGCCCTCCAAGAGCTCGGTGACCCTCGTGTGACTGTATAGACATAATGGCTCATGGGAGTGCGACAGGCGTGGGTGGAGGTAGGACTGAGTACTCAGCCTTTGCCGTCTTATTTCTGTGCTTCCGTCAGTTCTTCTGTTTATGGGAACACTTGGCCGGCTTCACTCAGTAGACCCAGAGTGTTTTCTCCGTGGCCGGAGCAAACAGGTGAAGCAAAGCCAGCCTCCCTCCTGCTTAGCAGTTGAATAGAGCATGTGGCTGTCCAGCCGCAGGTGTGATCTTGGATTCAATGTTAAAGCAGGCAAATGAGCCAAGAGTTGGAGAGGCCACCCACTCCCCTGCATGCACCGCCCCCCGTGCTGTTAACAGGGGGCTAATCTTCAGAATTCAGGCCACAGAAGTAATTCTTATCCCTGCCAAATTTAAAATAAAAGTTAAAAAACCTAACAGTTTTACAAGAAATGAAAATTATTCTGTACTTAAAATCACTGAGCAGCGTGTGACACTTGCCCCAAAGTTCCCAGGTTAAGGATTCCTGTGTAGGAAGGAAGGAGGCTCGGTGGGGACAGGGCTGAGAGGAGGAGGTGCTGGGGGAGGAGCGCGGCGTGGTGCCCACTGCACGGCTGCGGCACGGGTGGCGCTCTCGGCGCTGGAGTCAGACCTCGGCCTCCACCCTGGCTTGGTCGTTTACTGCCTTTCGGACTAGGCCAGTGATTTCACTTCTCTGCACCCCAGCCTTCTCCTCACTGTGAAGTTGTGAAGCCAAAGGCTGAGGTGAGTGGTTAAGATAACGTCTGTGAAGCACTTAGCACAGTGCCTGCAACATAGTACGTGCTCAATAAATGTTAACTGCTGTTGCTGTTGGATGGTGGGGCGGACGGATGAAGAGTTGCATCAGGGACTAAAGAGGGGAGCTGGGAAGATGGCGGGTTCTGGGGGGGTCAGTAAACTGTTCACACCTTATTTATTTAAGCTATGTATGAGCTTCCTGGTATTATTATCTTTATCTTTGCCCTTTTGGAAAGCAAATTAATGGATTAATCACTGTCACAGTTCTTCCTGACTACTCTGTCTTTACCCTTCCCTTCCACCGAGGAAGGAGCTGTTTTTGTGCTGCAGTGACTGTGACGGTTGCCAGATTGACCCCCTGGCCTGGCCTCTGTGCCAACAGTGTGCACTCTCATGTCACTGAATCGAGTCCTGCTATTTTTAAGACCTTGTAAATAAAAATTAAATGATTAATAATAATATGTCTATAGCATTATTATTTGCTTTATTTTACCACTTCAATTCTACTTTTTTGCTCTATTTTCATTGATTATAGATTATGAATGGGTGTCCAGGGTATTCTTGAGAAGGCTCTGGAGGCCTGGTAATTGGGTAAAGGCACTTACTCTTTAAGAAAAGCTGGATCCCTAGATGGGATGGAGACTGTTGTGGTTATTTGGACACAGATTTTTACCGTATTTCATAGAATCAAAGATGCAAACTGTCTAACATTTGCACATCCGAGACCATCATGCATTTTAGAATCTCTGTGATCAGAAAGCATTATGACGCAGCGTAACTGGAGCAGTATTAGCGATACGGAAGATGGCGGTATGCCTGGACATCGGCGTCCTCGTGGATTGGATGAAATACGGTCCCCGAAGGGAACGGAGGCACTGAAACCCTGTAGAAACGTGGCGTCAGGGCAGGCTGTGCAGGGGCTCCAGAGTCAGACTTTCTGGGTGTAAATTCTAGCCCTGTTTGTGTGACTTTGAGCCAGTTACTTATCCTTTCTTCACCTTTGTTTTCTCACCTGTAAAATGGGGGCTCAGGATGGTCCCATCTTACAGCGTTGTGATGAGGACTGAATACGGTCAGATGTGATGTGTGTAAAACGGTGCCTAACACATACCAAGGGCTTAATACCATTAGATGCTGTTATTATTAGTTTAGAGATTATGCTTTGCAGAACTGATTCGAGAGTCCATTTTGTGGTGATTGAAACTCAGCTCTATTACCCTTTAATGTTTGTGTATCACCTGATAATTCAGCACATGACACCCGGGCTTTTTAAAAGGGAAGATAAAGATAAAGCTTAACCTAACAAGTTTCCATATTCTTACTAAGTTAGATTTGAGTGGCATATTTGGTATCTCTATTATTAATACATGTGTTGAAGTATGGAAGAAATTTCAAGGAGTTAATCTGAGGCTAATTTAAATGTGGTTTTTGACTGGTAAGTATGGGAAGGGGTGGAGGGCTTTAAGAATTTGCAAAATCTGAAGCATTTTTTTCACCCTAAGTAAAAGAGGAGGAGAGAATCCCTTTTGGGTTGTATGAACTTTACTGCCTTAGGTAAAGACAGTGATTTTTAAATTTAAAAATTACCTCTTTAAAATTATGTTATGTAGGCAGCATCTCCTTATGATACGATTGTTATAGCTTCAGGTTGTCTGTTCTTACGAGCCGTTTTATTTTTTCTGTTCTAGTGTTCGGTGACCAGCGACTTGGACTTTCCAACGCAAGTCATCCCATTAAAGACTCTGAACGCTGTTGCCTCGGTGCCCATAATGTATTCCTGGTCCCCCCTGCAGCAGAATTTCATGGTGTGTGAATGACATTGCTTCTGCTTATTTGATCATCACTATTTTAAATAAATGGCAATATAGCATGAGTAAAAAAGCTATCAAAATGATCAGGATAACATTTTTAAACCGATTTTTATCTGTCTATTTTAAGCATTTGCAGTGTTGCTCTTTTTCTAGTCCTTTCTAGTTTTAAAATGTTCTTCAGAGGAAAAGTGTTAAGCAAAAACCATACCTGGGATTAAAAACATATTTAACAGATGAAGTTTACAGTTTTTAGCCTTGAAGAGGTCAGTCTGACTTTGAGGTTTTGTTAATCGAGAACTTATTTAAAACAATTTTAGGCGGCATGTTATTAAATGATAATGTACACTATGGAATATTCTTAAGTCTTATAAAATACAAGCATTTCCACAGGGAACACTAGCCTAATAAACTTGGTAATGCTCTGCTAGTATACGTGGTCCTTGATAAAAGTAGGAAGGAGGATGGCACAAAAGAGAAAGGCGAGTGTGCTTTTCTTGTATTCAATAAAAATGCAGTTTTATTACTTGATATATAAAATAGTGTTATTTTTTCCCAAGCTTTCATACAGTTGGTTTATTTTTTTTTCCCAGCAGGAGAAAAAGAATAAAGTTACAAGATTCTTTTAATATTTTCACTGTGTTAAAACTAAAGTTGAGCTCTATGCTGTGTATGTAAATCTAGAACGCAAATGGGTTAAGTAAGATTTTCTCATTTAAAGATATAAGAATGGAAGCTTTTCTTACAGTAAACTTCACAGAACTGCAGGGGAACAAACAAAAATATAGTTGTTATTGATATATAAAATGGTAAGGGTAATAAAATGTTGATGAAGTCCTTGGTGAGCCTACTTTAGAGAATTGCTTATTTTTCCAATGTCTTTAATAACTTTGAAAGATTTTACAGTGGAGGGTTAAAGGCAAACTGGATACTCTTCTGCAGTTGCATTCATTTGTGTGTTAAAGGCTTTATTAAAAAATCATTTAGGTTTTTTAAAAAAAGATTTATTTTTAGAGAGAGGGGTAGGGAGGAAGAAAGAGGGAGAGGAACATCGATGTGTGAGAGAAACAGCAATCACCTGCCTCTCTCATGCTCCCAACTGGGAGCCTGGCCCACAACCCAGGCTGTGTCCTGACCGGGAGTCGAACTGGTGACCTTCAGTTTGCGAGTTGATGTCCAACCAAATGAGCCACGCTGGTCGAGCCAAAAACATTTAGTTTGAGAAGCATATTGCAAGAGCTTAAGGGAAGTTTCATATTTTCACAGACTGAAATTCTGAAAGAATATTGTGTTTAAACTTGATAATATATACTATTTATGAGTCATCCATGGGTTTTGCTGGACACCGACCAAAGCAAATTACACAGGCTGTCTTTATTATGCTAGGGCATGTTTTGGGGACAAGATTATATGCATATGATTGGGAAGACAGAATAGCCATCGTCCCTTAATTTTTTTCTTGCATCAAAAAAATGAACTCGCCTAGTTTAAATGGGGTCAGTGCAAGTGAGATGCAGTGAAAACTGGACTCTTGCACACATTTAAATTTTCATTTATATACTATGTACTTTTTCGCCCAATTTCCCTTTTCTCTGTTTGTCTAATGTATGAGCTCTGCAGTTGTCCTCAATTTGTTACCGAGGAGTTACTGGAAAATACTCGCTTTCTTCGCGTTTCCTGACCACGGCTGTAGTCCTTGACAGTCCTTTGTGTCTCAGCCTTTCCTGTGTATTCTTGCCTATCGATTGTGGCCCCGGCTGAAGGTTCTTCACACTTTATTCATTTAAATCTCACCTGAGGATATATTTTTATTGATTTTAGAGAGAGAGGGAGAGAGAAATACCGATGTGAGATGGAAACATTGAAGGGTTGCCTCCCATATGCCCCCTGACCGGGGTCAAACCCCGAAACCTAGGATGTATGTCCCCTGACCAGGAACCGAAAGTGCAGCCTTTTGGTGTACAGGTCGATGCTCCAACCGACTGAGCCACCCAGCCAGGGTAAGGCACCTCACACTTTAAGTGGGTGCCCTGACTTCAGGTATTAGCTTGTCCTGTTTATCAGTCACCTTTCTAAAATTCTATTTTTAACCAGTACAGTACCCTGTTCAAAGACCTAAGACTTAGAGCTGTCCTCACTTTACATTAGTGTCCTTAAATATGGACTGCAGAGCATTCTGGTCTTTATAATCACTGTCTTTTCATTCTTTATTGAAAATTCTCTTCCTCACGATTGTCAGCTTTTTGCCCCTTGTATTCTTAAGTACCCATTTTCTCTGAATTTTTCTTTGGCTCTTCCCAGCTAAGGCCGCACACTCATTCTTCCATTGCCCTCCACATCTTGCTAGGAACTCATCTTTCATTTCCCTTAGCATTCTCAATTTTGATGTGCATTATATTCATCTCAGTATTGAAATATTTTTTGTTACTGTAGAATGTTCTCATGTAAATGAGTAGATTCTTTCCGCATAAACTTTAATGGATCTTCGATACTCTATTGTACAATCCTAGACTTTTATTATATTGAATGTCAATAACTAGATCAAATGAAATTTAGAAACCCTTATGTTAAGTGTTTTTTTTAAGGTATGACTGTTTATAGCTGATTTTAAGGAACCGTATTTCATCCATTGTAAGACACTGTCATTGGAAATAGGAGTGTGTAGATAAAATAATGGAAGGTTTTAATGATCGATGATATGTTAGATTAGGTAAGCTCAGTAGTTTTCCTTAAATTTGTTTCTCAGTGATGCTTACTTGTGAATGGGGTCTTTTTAAACCCTTATCTGAGGATATGTTTACTGATTTTAGAGAGAGGGGAAGAGAGAGAGAGTGAAAAACAGAAGTAGTGACATGCAAAACATTGATCTGTTTGGTGCTTATACATGCCCCACCCGGGGACTGAACCTGCCGCCTAGCCTTCTGCCCTGACTGGGAATCAAACTCACGGCCTTTTGGTGTGCAGGATGACACTCAGCGGACTGAGTCACAGGGCAAGAAGTGTGCTTTATTTATAGTTTATAGAGTTTGCTCTTTATTATTTTAGGTCTGGAGATCAGCGTAAAGACATCTGCTTATGAAAAAAATTGTTGTATTTCAGTTATCACATTGATTTTTAAAAATTTCGATAGGATAAGGGTGCTTTTTAAACTTACTATTTTTTAACTTTTAGGTGGAAGATGAAACTGTTTTACATAATATTCCTTATATGGGGGATGAAGTTTTAGACCAGGATGGGACTTTCATTGAAGAACTAATAAAAAATTATGATGGAAAAGTACATGGGGACAGAGGTGAGCCATGGGTTTACTCTCTTGGAAAGAGGGCCAAGGAATTATGGGATGATTTGATTTTGTTTTATAAGGATAGATATAAAAAAGGTTTTTCTATTACTAAAATTAAGTTTTGTGCTGGGCTGGCTTGGCTTACAAGCTTAAAATTTTCATTGTTTTCCCTATTTATAAATTGAAGGACCATGTTTGCCACATGAAATTTATGCATAGTTGGTGATAGCATAAATTATGTCAGTAACCTAAGTAGAATTGCTTGAGTATACATAGACTTCAAGATTCTTTAGCAGTAAAATTAGTAAGGGCCAGGGCTCTGCCTGTGTCACGTGGGCCACAGGCCGCCCCGCATTCTCACGTGCCTGCCCCGCAAGGCTGCTGCGTGCGGCCCCTGCATTCTGTGGCCAGAACCCTGGTGCCGGCCTTCTGTGCCCAGGAGAGCCTGCCCAGTAGCCTGGTAGGAGGGTGGTGTGGGTAGTGCCATTGCCTGTCCTCGTCATTAGGAGTGCGCTGTCTGCTAGGGACACTGATTCCAAGGAGGCCAAGGCCACACTGAGTCTCCAGTGAATTAGGTCACAGTAGAGGCACTGGGGACTCTTGAGGGAGCGGTGATTACAGAGAAAATGGCAGATGTTGAAGGAAAATTCTGTTCCTCACTTTGCCTTTGGCCAGTCCTGGAAAGGGCCTTTCCCCCGCATTTTAATGATAATGGTATGCTGCTGATTGACAGGCTCTGGCTGTTCCAGATTAGGAATTGGCACAGAAACTGTTGTCCCTGCCACTGTGCTCCATCTGTTCATGGTATCCGACTTGGTGAATTTCAGAATGTGGGTTCATAAATGACGAAATCTTCGTGGAGTTGGTGAATGCGCTTGGCCAGTACAATGACGACGACGATGACGATGACGGAGATGAGGCTGAGGAGAGGGAAGAGAAACAGAAAGACCTGGAGGAGAGTCGGGACGGTACGTCTCTTAGGTTTGTGCATAGCCAGCACAGCGACGTAAGGAGAGCAGTAGGTACAAGTGGCTCTGAACCCCCCGCCCCTTTTTTTAAATCACATCCATTGCAATATAATTGAAATTAGTATTTGCAACTTTTCATTCTGCCCTTGAGGATCTTTATTTCCTTCGGCTAGCGAAGGAGTAGACTGTGCTGCTGGGTTTCACGGGGCAGTCGTCGTCAGCGCTGGAGAACGCCGACTGCCTCTGCGCAGGCAGTGCACTGATCGCTTAACGTGCACCGGTGCACTCCACCCTCAGAGCGCTTTGCGGGAGACCGTGTTGTCATCGTCGAGGAGATTGGTTTCCTGTGGTGAAGGAACTGATTTAACTTAACGCTTTTTGCAAGGAGCAGCCCAAGACGCCGTGACGGGGGCTGGCTCTGGTGGCTCCAGGGCCTGTGCTCTCCACGCCCGCATCCGAAACCAGTGTCCCCAGGCGGAGTCGAGAGTTGGTGGAGACTTGGTGAAGCTCATTAAGACAACATAGAAGGATTTGAAGAAACACTGCAATTTCAGAGAAGCATAAATTTTTTATAACAGGCACCTCGGTGATCATGTAGTTTGTGCCTTTGTTTACAGATACGAAAACAGACCCAGGTGGGTCAGTGACTGGCCAAGGTCACATAACCAGTTAGTAGCAGAGCTCGGATTTGAACCCATGTTTTTCTGCTTCTCAGTCTGCTTGAAACTCTTTGTTTGTCTGATATACTATTAAGCCACAGATACATGCAAAATATGGTAGAAGTGAAACACAAAGTTGATAGTTTCTTAGGAGAGCTTTGTTACATACAGTAGTGTGGAGAAAATGAAAGATTGAAAACTTGTTTACTTTCATTCTTTTTTTGTCCTTTTATATTTCCCTATTTAGATAAAGAAAGCCGTCCACCTCGCAAATTTCCTTCGGACAAAATTTTTGAAGCCATTTCCTCAATGTTTCCAGATAAGGGCACAGCAGAAGAACTAAAGGAAAAGTAAGATTTGTTCTTTCAAGGTCATCTCAGCTTGTCTGGGAATGCCACTCACCATGTGGTTTATTGGAGATGGAACTAATGTAGCTTGGGATCCGCTCACTTCATTTGTTGCACATTTGCCAAGAGGCTTGGAGCGACGCACACACCTGTGGTCTCTGGCCTCCAAACCTTTCCTGCTGATGGAATAGACACACCCAGCGTGCAGTGGTCCTCCATGTAGAGGACAGTTTCTCTGGACCCTTGCAGAACTTTTAGTGCCCTTGGAGGTTAGCTTTAATACAAGAACATTTTTCATGATAGATCTGAATCATATCTGTGAATTTGATTCTTGGTATGTTGTGCGTAATATTTAATGAGTTCTTCACAAGGTGGTGGTTGTGGACTTTACCTTTATAGTTTAGGCACAATAAAAATAATACATGGAATCTGTTTAGAAACTTTATTTTTAAAACAACTTTTGTTTCCCATTGACTGACATCCTTGGTTCATGTCAGGTATAAAGAACTCACCGAGCAACAGCTCCCAGGGGCACTTCCTCCGGAATGTACTCCGAACATAGATGGACCAAATGCTAAATCTGTCCAGAGGGAGCAGAGCCTGCACTCATTCCACACGCTCTTCTGTAGGCGATGTTTCAAGTACGACTGCTTCCTACATCGTAAGTGCAGTTATTGTACGTTTTCCTTTTCTATCTTTGTTGTGGAATTATGTCTTAGAGCAGCTTGAAAATTGTAGTTGTTCGTTACAATTAGATTTTATCGTTTATTCTTTCAGTTAAGATTAAAAATGTTACTGCCAGTGTCTCAATATTTTTATTATTTTTAAAATCTTTATTCAAGATTTATTTATTGATTTAGAGAGAGAGAGGAAGGGGGAGGGAGAGAGGGAGAGAGAGAGAAACATCAATGTGAGAGAGAAACAGTGATCAGTTGCCTCTTGTACAAGTCCCAACTGGGGGTTGAACCCACAACCTAGGCATGTGCCTTGCCTGGCAATTGATGCTCCAGCCCACTAAGTAGCCTGGCCAGGGCAGAGTCCTGCTACTTTTTCATTTGTTGCTTGAGGGTTGCTCCAAAGCCCTCGGCATGCTCTGATTTGGACGGCTCTCCCTCACTAGGGTGGGGTACCCACAGGCCAGTGATTTTTCCATAAATGCTAACCGCGTGGTTGTTGCACAATAGAATTTACTGTGGACTAGCTGATAGCCCAGGGCAATAATGTGATATTGATGAACAAATTTTGTTGAAGAAACTGACTAACAAGCTTTGTTATATATATCTAGTATTAATTTTTTTTTCTTTTTGGTCCTTTAAAAACCTCATTTGAATACAGGTAAAGCATAAAATGTTCTTAATGAAATCGAAGTATGGCACATAACAATATTACTTAATTTTTCTGACATTGCTGGGGAATGAGGTTTCTTGTCACTGGAACTTCTGTAGGCACAGTTAAAACGGTGCCAGCTACTTTTGAAGAACTTATTTTGAAAGTATATTTCATACCTCCCAGTTTACCAAGCGGAGTTTACCTCATACAGGTTAGCTTCTTCCATATTACATTTTAGTGCGATGTTAGTGGCAAGGTAATGCGGCAGGGGCTTTGGGCCTGTGTCCGGTCGCCCTCCCCTGCACTAAATGGCCCCGTGCTGCCTTGTGCTCGGCTCCCGGTCCCACCTCTCCCGGAAGGTTTCCCTCGTTTTCCGGCCCTGCGTCTCGGTGCGACTTCGCCCGCGCAGGCGGCGGGCTCTCGCCGCGAGTTGTTTTGCTCTGTCTGCTTGGATCTGCTGCAGCTCGGGGCCTGTTGTGTGATGTGTGTCTTGGTCTGGAAGAAATGACTTCTGTGTGTGAAATATTTATTTACTTTAATAAATAAAATAAAGGGAAGGAGGAAGAGTGGGAAAGAAACACTGATCACATGCCCCCAACCTGGGACCTGGCCCGCAACCCAGGCACGTGCCAACTGGAAGTCAAACCAGCGCCCTTTCGGCCTGTGGGACGGCGCCCGACCCACTGAGCCACACCAGTCAAGGCTGTGTGTATGAAGTCTTAGTGGTTGAATTAGAAAAACTTGAAGTAGGTTTTTAGAATTATTATCTCTCATTCCTATCTAGTTTAAATTGGTGATTTGGTGGTTTTAATAATCTGGCCGTGGGGTGTTGGTCAAATGCGTATCTCATTTGAGCCTGGCAGTGGTGTCTTCACACAGCTCTTGAAATAGTTATTTTGAATTGCATTTAAGTACCCTTTACACATGTTCATTTTATAAAATATGTCCAATTCTTATTAAGAATATTATAGCCCTGACCGAGTAGCTCAGTTGGTTAGAGCTTCCTGATACACCAAGGTGGTGGGTTTGATCTTGGTCAGGGCACATACAAGAATCAACAAGCGAATGCGTATATAAGTGGAACAACGCATCAGTGTTTCTCTCTTTCTTTAAAATCAACAACACACACACACCCACTAAACAAAAGAGTATTGTAAAGTTAATTAACATCACTGTAGCAAAAAAATTTGAGTGAAATGGTCCCTTCAATTCATTGGTTATAGATGTAGCATTTCAAGTACCTTTTTTGATGTACAAATGAACTAAGGAAGCAGGGTGCTCCTTTTAAATATTATGAGTTATTTTATTGTGCTGTTGAGATTTGAGTGATTCTGATGACCCTTGAGCCTATTAATTATCTCATTATTCAAGCCGGGGAGAAGAGGAGAGAGACCTATTTCCCTCTAAGGGAGCTGGCTCCTGTGGGGCCCACGGGCTGCCCCGGCCAGCAGTGCGTGGCGGCAGGGCCCCGCAGTCCGGCCCGCCCCCCCCCCCCCGCCTTGCGTAGAGCCGGTCTCCTCCTCGTGCAGCCCGCGCGGGCTCTGTAGGTATACCTGATGCAGCATTTCCCACTGTGTGTTTTTCTTAGGTAAAGTAAACTGTGAAGTAAATTACTAGACGTATGTTAAATATAGCATTTTGTGCTTTCATCGTTTTTGGTCTACACAGTGAGGCTATATGTTGGGTTGGCCAAAAAGTCCATACAGTCTTTTCCATAAAATAAAAGACAAACATCTTTCATTTTCACCAATAGCTTTATTGATTTGGTTATTTTGCGTATGTTGGCTGTCTCCCACGTTAACGTTGTTTGTTCTCAATTACTGTCTCGATATGATCACTATCAACTTCAGCTGGTCTTCCCGACCGTTGAGCGTCGACCAGTGAGAAGTCTCTAGCACGAATCTTTGCAAACCACTTTGGACACACGTTACCAGTCACAGTGCTCTCCCCATACATGGCGCAAATCTTTTTTTTGCATTTCAGTTGTATTTTTACCTTTCTTGAAATAATAAAGATGATGCCAGAAATGTTGCGTATTTCCTTCCATCTTCAATATTAAAATTACACAATTCAATTTTGATAATTTTTTAAAAATAAATGCATGTTGATATGACAGCTGTCATGATACAATCTAACAGAGTTGTTTCAAGTGAAGTTAAAGACAACTAAGTGCTACTAGAGCCATTTTATGGAAAAAAAACGAACAAACGTTTTGGCCAACCCAGTATGTAGTACTTTACAAGCTTATGTGAGGATTAAATTTATTACTGTCTGTAAAATACTTAAAATACTATTTGGCTTGTGTTTAGCTATTGTTATTTTTAAAATAGGTCATCAGTTACATGACTTATGTTTCAAAGTAGTATTAAAAGGTGTCTAGTAGAGTCTCCTCGCCTCTTCTGTATCTTTCTTATAGTTTCTTCTGGCAAATACAAATATATTCTTTTCCTGACTGTCCTATTCAAGTGGTGCCATGTTATTTAGGCCTTTTTCTTTTCTGACTTAATGTTGTAGAGGTTACTCCTGTCTGGACAGCTGCATAGTCTTCTGCAGTAGGAGGCACTATAACCCACTGACCCTGTCCTCTAAAGGTCAACATTTGGGTTGTTTTGAGCCTTTTTTTGTAACAGCTCTGCAGTGAATACCCTGTGTGTATCCGTGCATCATTTTGAGCAAAGTTTACCTGATTTCACTCTAGATATTATTGGATGACCCGCCATATGGGGGGCCTGCCACTTTAAAGACCTACCAGTGGAGCCCTGAGGGGTGGCTGGAGCATCGTTCCGTAGAGTGAAGCGTTGTGGGTTTGATTTCTGGTGAGGGCACATACCCAGGCTGTGGGTTTAATCCCTGGTTGGGACATGTGTGAGAAGGCAACCAACTGATGTTTCTCGCCCATGTTGATGCCCCCCGCGTCTCTCTGAAAGCAGTGGTAAAAAGTGTCCTTGGGTGAGGATAAAATAAGTAAGTAAATACCAGCAGAGTAAGCATGCTTATTTCCTAAAATACCTGACAATAGATTGTGTTGAAAAGCTAATTTTGACTTTTATTGATGAGTGAAAAGTGTTTTTTTTTGTGTGCATGTGTGTGTAGTTTAATTTGCACTTTTTTTTCTTCCTGTATGTTTGATATTTGTATTTTGTTTCCTTCGAACTATTTTTATCTGCTGACTCGTTGATCTGTTTTGAAAATTGGGAGCTCTTTATATAGTCAGGAAATTAGTTTTTTTGAGATGAATAGAAATTTTCTTTACAGTTTGTTGTATTGTAAAATTTGCATGAAGAAAGTTTACAAATTTTAAGGGTAGTTGAATTAATCAGCTTGCTTTCCCTACTCCAAGATTATAAATGGTTTCCTACTTTTTTTTCCTGGTACATTGTACGCTTCATGTTTTCCATCTAACCCTTCTGTCCATTTGGAATCCCGACAGAATCCAGTTGCCCTTCCCCACCTCTAAGGTGACCTGGTTGTCTCCACACCTTGAGATCCTGCTCTTGTTGCCCCTGGTCCTGGGGTCTGTGTCTGGTCTTTGTGGTCTGTTCCTTCAGCCTCTCTGTCCAGAAGGCATTATTCAGAGATCTCCTGCTATTATTGTTTATTATTTGAATATAAATTTGAGAGTCAGTTTAATTTTAAAAGTCTAGGCATTAATGATTATTGGAATTGCATTAAATTTATGAATTAAAGGGAAATTGACATTTTAAAATAAAGATTAAGTTGTGTCCCTTAAAGACCTCAAATTTGCCTCATGTAACTTTTGTATTGGGTTGGCCAAAATGTTCTGCAATTATTAATAGTGTTTTGCCTTCTTTCCAAACTTCTTATTTTTGCCTAGCTATGTAGGCTTGTATCTTTAGTGTGCTGTTAAGTAATGGTGCTAGTAGATAAAGTTTTCTGTTGTTTTGGAAAATTATCCCTTTTTTTCCAGGTTTTGAAATTTATTAGTATAATCCTGATATGCGTCTTCTGATTCTTTCATTTGGATGATTATTCTTTTCTTATTCTGATCTCTGTTTTCATCCTTCCCTTTGTTTGGGTGTGTGTCTTAGCACAGCAAATTGTCTAGTGCGCTGCTTCAACTTTTCTCTTAGGCCCTAATATTTGTGTTACTACTGTTTGTTTTAAGTAATTGTAAGGAATGTTTTATATTTTCTCAACAACTCATTGTTAAAGGGAGAATTTTTAAAGCTTTTGGGTACAGAGGCCTTTTTGGGTGTTAACTGTTTTTATATTTCTGTGCTGGTCGCCTTACTGATGTCAGGCCTTACTTGTTATTTTGTTGTTGGTGGCATCTACCCTTTTATCTGAGGAAGATGTTAGAAGTTCCATATCTCTGACTGCACCTTTTCTGTTAGAGGGATGTGGCTACTTTAATGAACCTTGAAGGGTAAATGGTTTTGGGCAGCAAACTAATCCCACTTAATAATCCAAGTAATTTTCAGGCCACAACCCATTTTGTAAATTGGAAACTGATTGTCCTACAAACTTGGAATCATAGTAATTTCTTTATAAAAGCTCTCGCCAAGCCCTGGCTGGTGTGACTCAGTTGGAGCATCGTCTCAGAAACTGGAAAGTTGTGGGTTCAATTCCTGGTCAGGGCACATACTTAGGTTGTGGGTCCCATCCTCAGTCTGGGCATGTGCAACCCCAGTGTGTACGAGAGGCAGCCAGTTGATGCTTCTCTCTCCCGTCAGTGTTTGCCTCAGCCTTCCTCTCTCTCTAGAAACAGTGAAAAGCGATCCTCGGGTGCGGATTAAAAAATAAAAAAGTAAAAAACATAAAGTACAAAAAAAAGCACTCCAGCCTAAAATTTACAGTCTGGTGTGGCTTTGGCAATACCTTTCGGATCGGGAAGGGAGGGGAGAATTGAGCGTGGGACAGCTAGCATGGGAAACACAAATGGGTGTGTCTGCATGTGCTTCTGTGGGGCTGAAGTAGCGCTTTGAACAGAATATTTGATAAGCTGTCTAGTGTCTGAACAGCCTACAGAAGAATCCATTTTAAGCATAAAACCCGATTGTATCAGTTTGTCCTTTTTGATACTGTGTGGAAGTCTGTTTGAATGTTCTTTTTGGAATGTGTGTGACTGTTGACTGAAAAGATTATAACATTTTAAATGGTTAGAATTTCAAAGGAGGTGTTCCAGGTTGGTAGCAGGTGGTTGGCGTTTCCAGTCCTCCGGCCGCGTCACGGTCCCGGCAGCTCAGGCGCAGCGGGACTTTTCATTTGCTGCGTGATTACCCGAGTGCGGGGCCCGCCCCACACCTCAGTGCTCCTCATCTGTGGGGTGGGGGTGGGGGTCGTGGTACCTGGGGATTCTGTGGGGATTCAACGAGGTGATGCCCGAAGCTTCACTGTTAGTGTGCGCGCCCTGGGCACTGCCTCTGTCTGCTGCCGTCACGCTCTCCCTCGCTCAGATGACAGCGTTCCTTTGTGAGGTGCTTTTTAGTAACAGTCTGGTATTTGTAATATACACAGAAGAATTTACATGATTTCAGCTGTAAGGGTATTCAGTAAGAATTTGTTCTTAATACTAAGCTCTAATCAGAACAGACAGGAGCAGTACTTTGAGCAGAGGTTAATGTGTCAAACTGACACTTTGTCCTGGTCTGACTGTTGGTCACGTGAGAACAGCTGAAGAAGCAAGCATTTCAGAGGAGTGGGGCGCGGTGGTGTGGTCCAGAGACGCAGAGCTGCTCTCTTGGTCCCCGAGGTGACGAAGGCTGAGGGAGGGGTCTGGTCGCACCTGCTGCCCAACAGCCGGCTCCGTAAATCCATTGCCTCTGTCCCTGTTCCCTGATTTGTGAAGCCCACTGGAAGTGGGCAGTCGCCCGCTGTCCCAGCCCTGACCCCGGACGCTCCAGGTGTGTGTGGCGGCAGCGCCGGTTTGGTGAGGCGCTGAGAGGTCCCGCGGGCCACTCAGGGCGTTGAGCCGGCGTTCGGTGCCGCCAGTGTGGTCTCGGACGCAGGTGCGGAGGCTTAGCTGGGGCTACGGGTGGCCCTTTGTACTTCTGCCTGAAAACCTTTATAAAGATAGGCTTTCATCCAGATTTTATAGGTTGCTTTTGACAGTAAAAGAAACAAAAAAGCTCTCAATATCCATGTTCTCTCCTTAGAAAATTTAAAGGTATCTTGGCTTGATTTTCCTGATAATGAAATTTTATATAACCTTTTTTTGTATATTTAGCTTGAAATACATATTTATTTCCTCACTGGAGGATATGTTTATTGATTTGAGAGAGAGAGAGAGAAATTGGGGGTGAGGGAGACCACTGAACCTCTGGCCTTTCTTGGTATACGAAACGATGTTCCAGCCAAGTGAGTCACCTGGCAATGGCTTAAAAAACGTTTTCTTTCTCCTTTTTCTTTTTAAAGATTTTATTTATTTCTTTTTAGATGGAGGGGAAGGGAGGGAGAAAGAAAGGGAGAGACACATCCACGTGTGGTTGTCTCTCATGTGTCCCCCCACTGGGGGCCTGGCCCGCAACCCAGGCCTTTGCCCTGACTGGGAATCAAGCTGGCGATCTTTGGTTCGCAGGCTGGCACTCAATCCACTGAGCCACACCAGCCAGGACAAAAAAACTATTTTTCAAGTATATATAAAGAACAGAGCCTCGAAATACTAAAATGCCTTTTCTCTGAATCTTGCAATTCAAGGACCTAGTGAGACCCTTTAGTCAGCATCTTGCCGCAGAGGAAGACACAAGTCAGATAAAATAGCTTAAAAAATGTTTGAAACCTAAGATTCCCGTTTTGGTCCCCTGAGCAGTGTGAGCACACAGCAGTGAAAGCCTGAGAGAACTTGTGAACACTAGCTGCCAGCGTGCAGAGGTGAACGCTGGACATGTCCTGTCAGAACTGCACAAGATGTCAACCTCTTTAATATGGATAAAAACAAGTGACACACTCATGAAACAAGTCATTTAAAAAATATTTGTAGAAGGCCATTCTCTCACCACGGAACTTAAAAGGGAAATATAGACAGACTGACGAGGGAAAGGAAAAAAAAAAGTCAACCAAATTATGTTTTTACAGTAGAAGTTCAAGGCTCAGATTCTTTTCAAGTGCATGAGGTTTTCCCCAGAATGAGAGCCTGATACCACACCACTAACTGAGCCATGGACGTTTTGAGCAGGTGAGGACCCCTGTAATACCTAGGCTGCACGTATGGAAGGGCAAGACGGTATCAGCAGCAAGGAATTGCATCAGTCCAAAACGCAAGACTGTCGTTAGCCAGAGTTAGTGCATGTAGTGAGTGATACGTTTTTGTAAAACTTGTTTTTAGTTTGTACACTTCCTTTAGCACATGCTGTATTTATATATGGATATCCTCACCCTGACTCAGTGACAGTTAAAGGTACATGTGTGTATCTGTAGACAGAAGGACACACACACAGGGCTCAGGTGAGGACAGTGGCCGCTGCTGGTCGTGAGCGAGAACTAGGGAACAGTACTCATTGTAAGACCATAAAAATAGTCTTAATCACAAGAACAAGTTCAGGCTATAAAGGAAAAATGAACATTTATAATCAAAGGTACTTTAATAAATTACAATACCATTCTCATGACTAGATTCCCTCAGCAGAATTTCAAACAGGAAGTTTATCATTCAGAAAACCATACAAAGAATTCCCTCTTCTAGAAACATCTAGACTATTTTAGATTTCCAGAATACTTTTCAAATAGGCATCTTAATATTTGAAGTCAGTTATTAAAAATATTTCAAGCTTGCCCTGGCTGCGTGGCTCAGCAGTTGGAGAAAGGGCTGCATGCTGGGCCCCCAGTCAGGGCACCTACGTAGGTTTCAGGTTCCTCCCCAGTCAGGGTGTGTGTGGGAGGCAACCCTTTGATGTTTCTCTGTCTTTCCCTTCCTTGCTAAAATCAATAAACATATATTTGGGCGAGGATTTTGAAAAAATTACCTTTTAATAAGTAGTATTCCATTCTCCCCTCTTCCCCCCACTTGACAGATTGTTGACCTTTAGAAATAAAAAAGTTGTAGATGTCAGAATCCTTTTGGTGAGAATAGGAAATCTGGTTTCATTGTAGGGGATGTATCCGTTGTTTCTATGGCGATATTAATGACCCAAATCAATGTTTATGGTCAGAGTTTAGAGTTTATGTGCGTCAATTATACTTGCGAGGAGAAAAATAACAGCGCAGTCGTCACTCAGAACGCACTGTGGCGCCCTGGCGCGGGTCGGGGAGGCGCGCACGTGCTCTGTGGGACTCGCTGGAAGCACACGGTGAGTGTCCCGTGGGAGCTGGAAGGCAGGTTCTGGGATGTGAGCCACAGAGTAGCAAGACGGGAGCGTAGTCATTAACTTTTTCCATTGAAACTGGGGAAAATGAAGTAAATATTTTATAAAATATCCAAATGTTACTACTATCTTTTATTTTGCAGCCTTCCATGCAACACCCAACACCTATAAGCGGAAGAACACGGAGGCAGCGCTGGACAACAAGCCTTGCGGGCCCCAGTGCTACCAGCACCTGGTAAGCGCGGGTGCCGTGTGGGCCGAGGGCGCTGGAGGGGACTCCGAACTCGGTGAGGCGCGTGCAGCCAGCGTAAGCGCCGTGGCTCCCACGGCTTCTCCCGGCCACGTGGGCGGCAGGGGGTCTCACCCAGGTCGTGTCTCTCACGTACTGCACACTCTAGTCCTTCATTGATTTTGGATTAGTCTTTGTGTATCCATGTAATCTCTTCAGCAACAGTTCAAGGTTCTAGGGTCAAGGATGCTTACATTCCACCTTCTACCGAGTCCACGAGCGTGTGCAGCACAGGCAGCTGCCTGGCTGCCAGGCCCCGGCAACTGCACGCGGTAGCTCGAGGCCGTTCTCAGAGCCACAGCCTTCCTTAGAGCTGCAGGCCCCTGTTGTTTAAGCCATGGTAGAGGGCCCACAGGGAGAAAAGGTTAAAGTTTAGGAAAATAGGAGGTAGAAAAGTAGTTGTTTTTTTATGGGCACTATCTTATTTTTACCATTTCCCCTTTTTGAACCAAGCCACTCCTACCTAGGAACTAAGTGGGTATATATTGCCTGTTGGATTTTGGACAGAAGATTCATTGAATGGCACCTGCAGAAGGTATCCTATTTTTAAGCAATTTGGTTTTTGTAGAATGAAGTATAAAACTGTTGGCTGCTCTCAAACTTTTCCCTTCTGTTGCCACTAAAAACGGGATTCTCGAGCACTGTTGTATAATTTTATCTGGCTCATCTGAAATGTTTCTCTGGTCCTTCTGTAATCCATGCTCGTACCGGTTTTTTGTACTTCTGAGACTGGATGTTGCCCTTTGTAATACAGACCGTAACCCCACAGCCCTGTTCCTCACGTTTCTGCCGTGTTTTCCTGGGGCCGTGCGTCCTCCTAGGAGAGAAACAGGGTCTTTCCGTAGTAAGGCAGGAGGTGACCGAGGCGAGCATGCTTATTACGTGTTTCGTATTCTCGTGCACTGTAACTGGGACCATAGAGGCATGCGCTTCGAAACCCCGGAACAGGAAAGCTTGGCTCCAGAAGCACATTAAGTGTATGATTTTCCTCATAAAAATTCACTTTTAAAGAGACTATATGTTATATAAAGCGTATTTTGTATTTTAACTTACTAATCAGTTAGCGTACTTCACAAACACAGAAGTGTCTTGCCTGATTTCATGCCACTCTAGCGATATCTAGAACCCAAGTCTGTCTTTCCAAAAGTTCCAAACTGTCAAAAGGAGACAGAAAGAAAACAGCTGTGTTTAGAGATGCAGACGATTAACTGTTGAAAGTGGGTAGTGCGTTGAATTTCTTGACTAACTTGCTTATGCAGGTTTTTTTCTCCTGCACGGAAACGGTTGTAGAGCCTGACCCCGATGTCGCCGTGTCTCACTCTGTAGGAGGGAGCCAAGGAGTTCGCCGCCGCCCTCACTGCCGAGCGGATTAAGACGCCGCCCAAGCGCCCGGGCGGCCGCAGACGAGGGCGGCTTCCCAACAACAGCAGCAGGCCCAGCACCCCCACCATCAACGTGCTGGAGTCGAAGGACACGGACAGCGACCGGGAAGCCGGGGCCGAGACGGGCGGTGAGAACAATGACAAGGAGGAGGAGGAGAAGAAGGACGAGACCTCCAGCTCCTCTGGTGAGGGCCCAGCAGCGGCCGGGCTGCGGGGGTTCTGCACGGCGCGGGGGGGGGGGGTTGGGGGGCGCGCATGCCGTCCTGGTCGGCTGGCTCTCGGATGCCGCTCCCACCCTCTGTCTCAGTCAGGGCAGGAGGGGGTGCAGACCACTCAGGCCCGCGTCCTTGATGTTCTGTGGGTCATTTTGGTGGTTTTCCCGACTGGATCTTAAGTGCCTTTCTGCCCTGTGGCTCACGCGTGAATAACAGTAGGACAGCCCACGCGCCTTCTTTGTGAAAGGGGCCAGGCTTCTGGTCCCTGGTAAAGGTTTGGTGATACTTTCTAGCCTCGGTTTGTTCTCAGACATGATTCACTTCCTGCTTTTTTTCTTAAGCATGCCCCGAGTTTTACTTCTTGATCTGCTGTCCTCCAGTTGTGATTTCCTGACCAGTGCTTAATTTGGTTTGTAGAAGCGAATTCTCGGTGTCAAACGCCCATAAAGATGAAGCCGAACAGCGAGCCCCCGGAGAACGTGGAGTGGAGCGGGGCCGAGGCCTCCATGTTCCGGGTCCTCATCGGCACCTACTATGACAACTTCTGTGCCATTGCCAGGCTAATCGGGACCAAGACATGTAGACAGGTGAGCACATCTGACTGAGAAAGAGCATCAGAGAGGTAGAAAAATGTGTAATCTTTGTCCAAGTGAAAGAACAGTCTCAGTTACTATTGGCCTTCTGTTTACCTCCTGGGAAGGTTTTTTAACTGAGGGTGAACTGATTGCAGCCTTCAGCTATTCCAGGCCAGGTGACAGTGGACTTAAAAAGACAGAATCCAGATTGAGCCTTGAGACTCGGCCATAATGCCATCAAAGCTGCTGTCCCTGCCTGAGGGCCAGGACAGCGCTGCCCTGCTCTCCATTGTCCGCAGCACCGAGCCGCGTCACAGCGGAGACCGATGTTTGTGGTGGGAGTCAGGGCGGGGCCGGAAGTCTGCTGGCTGTGGTGGCCTCACGGTGGCAACGGTGTCTCTCATCAGGTGTACGAGTTTCGGGTCAAAGAATCCAGTATCATAGCTCCGGCTCCCGCCGAGGATGTGGACACCCCTCCGCGGAAGAAGAAGAGGAAACACCGGTAAGTCAGCCTGCGGCTGCTCTGCAATGCCACCGGGACACCGCTGGCCGCCCCGGGGCGGCAGCTGGGCTCCGCCGTGTCTGTTAATAAAAGAAGACTGAACTGCCTTAAAAATAAGACTGGTGGGATTCCTGCGGACAGCTGCTGGGAGTGCTTTCTGAAAGAGTGCGGCAGCATCAGTAGAGCTGGTTTTAAGAGCCATAAAGATTAAGCTTATTCTACGTTTGGTTGAGACAAACCTAGTAGCTTCTGCAGTAAAGGTCACACAGTTACTTAACTTGTTCTAAGATGTTTCCCTGAGCGTCAATATTGGAGCGTTGACGTGAGCTCAGAGCCAGTATTTACTTGAGCTGGAATCTTCTGGGTGCAGGGTGTTGCCCTGGTCGTCTTGGTAGACTGTCTCAGGCCATGGGAGCGTCACCTTTCCTGAAGCCTGTGGCCGAGAGTGGTGAGGTGTAAGTGCAGAGCCAGCAGATGGTGGCTGACCTGTCAGCTTTAATCCCTTCCCAGCTTTGTCAGAGAGCAGCTGTGGTGGGTGTGGGGAAGGGAGCATTTAGGTTGCCCTTCAAAATGTGAGTGCGTGCTAGTCCGTTCCTGTAATTTAGAATCAGAACTTTCCCACAGAAAGTTTTCCCACAGAAGTTTTTCCCACAGAATTTAGGCTTTAGTAGACAACTTCCGCATTTTTTGGTTGAAGTATTTGTGATGTAGCTCAACTGATTAAGGATGTACTAGTGGCACCGCATCAGCACGAACCAGTAGGTAGCCCTACCCAGCACGGGAAGGCGTGGCCGCCCTCAGTCCTGCCAGGTGCACTTGTGAAGGCTTCCTGGTGCACAGCAGGGCCTGGCGATCACGCGGTTTCTCAGTCACCGCAACCTGGCAAATGTAAACTGGGGACTGCGTGACCCTCCTTTCAGTCACTTGGATTGAAGGCACGGCTCTGTTGATGGCACAGGTGGACGGACCCGCGTCAGGAGCCCCTGTGGGGATGTGCTGACCGTGCGCCGTAGCTTCCTGGAGACCATTTGCTGCTTTGTTTTGCAGGTTGTGGGCCGCACACTGCAGAAAGATACAGCTGAAAAAAGGTCAGCACCCTTCCATTCAACCTCATGAACTGAAAATGTCTGTCATGTGTTTCAGAATAGAACTGGGTTAGAGTTTAGGGTATTTTGATATAGGGAGGAGCGTTTTCTCGCTCAGAGTGTGCACACCTCCCGCCTGATTGACCTGCACGCTGTTGTCTTGATGCAGACGGCTCCTCGAACCACGTTTACAACTACCAACCCTGTGACCATCCACGGCAGCCTTGTGACAGTTCGTGCCCTTGCGTGATAGCCCAGAATTTTTGTGAAAAGTTTTGTCAGTGTAGTTCAGAGTGTAAGTATTTGTTGCTTTGATGCAACTGCATGAGAATTAAATGGGCCTTTGGTCAGCCTTTTAAAATAGTAACAAATTGACACAATGTGGCAGTTCTTGCTGCTTTGCTTTTGGGAAAGCCAGAGTCGTGGGGCTTGTGGCTAATAATCAGCGCCCGTGTCCTGGCTGCTGCATGGAGCACAGACAGGTGAAGGCAAAATGGGATGAAAGGAACTTTCTTTGGTGGTTTAAATTAAGTCATAACAACACTGGCAGAGGATGTAAGGGGAACCTGGAAATCACTACCCAGATACCTCGTGCGCAGCAGGAACTGTCCAAGTTGGGTGGGTTCAGTGCTCAGAACAAAGGCACTTGCATCCTCAGGATGGTGACTGTAACTGTTGAATGAAACCGCACATGAAGCTCTGACATGCAGGGCGGTTTTCCCCGCGTGCAGTGGGACGGGGAGGCTGTGCTGAGGGCTCCACACGTCACAGGACGGTAATGACAGACGGTCCCCGCAGGCCAGAACCGCTTTCCCGGCTGCCGCTGCAAAGCGCAGTGCAACACCAAGCAGTGCCCCTGCTACCTGGCCGTCCGGGAGTGTGACCCCGACCTGTGCCTGACGTGTGGGGCTGCCGACCACTGGGACAGCAAGAACGTGTCCTGCAAGAACTGCAGCATCCAGCGGGGCTCCAAAAAGGTACGGCCGGGGCGAGGGCCGGGGCCCGGGGCCCGGAAGCCGTCACTGAGGGGACAGTGCTGCACAGGAGCAGCCTGGGCACCACCCCCCGCCCAGACCCCATCCCCTCTCATGTAGGAGGAGCCAGGGCAGTCCAAGGGGCGGCTGTGACTGGCTTCATGTTTGGAGCGAGGGGTTTTTTCCTAGTTGTTTAATAGACCATTTGAAGTTCTTTTTTAGTTAATAGGAGGAAGGAATCATTTATCTAGTCTCCTTATTGCAAGTACATGGTGTCCTATCAGAATAGAGACCCGTTCTTTAAAGTAGAGGCGAGTTTCCTTATTGTGCAGAGCAAGAGGTGATATTTCCCACAGTAGTTTTCAGACTTTGTTCCTTTAACCACCTTGAAAACATCACAGCCAGGAATTACATAATGGGAGCTGCACGCAGGTGACTTTTAATTGTAGTAACCTGGACGTTCATCACTGAGCCAGGAAACAAACAGCAAACTGGCAAAGGGTAGATGGTGCGTCTTCCGTCGATCATTTTGATCATAACAGCTGGCGTTTACTATTTAACACACAGCGGGCACTGGGCTGCGTGCCCTGGCTGTTAGCTCGCTAGTCCTCCTGACGTCCTGGGGCAGCGTTCCCGTCGGCCCATTTTCCGGGCCAGGGAACCGGAGTCAGGACTTGAGAGGAGGAGGAGGAACCCCTTGCTATGGCACCCACCTCGGGCTCCAGGCCACCGGAGACAAGGTGGAGCACCCTGGGCTGCTGGCAGGGCAGCCCCGCCCCGCCCCGCCCCTCCCAGCAGGAGTTCTGGTTCTGGTTGTGGCTGGCTGTTTGGCTCCAAGTGTTTCCACAGCTTTTCTCTGGGTAAACATCCACCAAGGTCTGTCTGTCACAGTGATGTGCTGGTTTTGCAGGGCACACCCATGATGAGCCCTAATTCATCCCCCTGCCCCACTCACCGGCAGCATCAGGTCTCTGGTGTGCGCAGGAAGTGGGCAGTGCCAGTCGCAGACACTCCTTTTAACTTGGTTTCCAACTGGGTTCCATTTGCCCCAGAGCTTCACAGTGTCATTTAGCTGATTTAGTTTCTGATCAGGGAGGTATTTGGGAAAGTCCCTGACAAAGGGGAGTCAGGGCTGGAGTAGAGCGAGGACAGATTGGGAGCCTGGGTGATCAGGGCCCTTTGCAAAGGACACAAGCAAGTGCGGGATGGCAGCAGTGTGATGGGCCCGGTGCAAAGTGAGAGGCCCGTTCCTGACGTGTCCCCACTGGAGCTGGGTGTGTTCGCCTCCTTGGCGGCTGCCAAGAACGGAAAGCCAGGCTGGCGAGATGTGACGCCCCCTCCAGGCAGTTCTCCAGGCTGTCTGAGGAGCCGCCGCAGGAGCAGTCGAGCTTCAGTGCAAGCAGCCACGGGCCTGAACAGGGAGTGGAGGAGCTGGTGCTAGAGAGTGTGGGGAGGTGTGGAGACAGGTGGATTCGGTGTCATGTGAAATGCATGTTGAAAGTGGTAAGGGGGTCAAGGGCTGACGAAAGGACAGGAAGTGTATGGGCAGCAGCTGTAGGTGCCCTGCTGGAGGGCAGCCTCAGAGGGCCCAGCGCCACCGTGGTTAGCTGATTTTTGGAGAGAGGTAGAGGTCACATTCCGTTTATTTACAAAAACCCAAAGCAGCATTGTTCTTGCAGTTTGTCAGCCCCTTGGGCAAAAGCTGACCTCTCTGTTCAGGCTCTGAACTCAGGGCACCTACCTGGTGGCTTCTTGCTGACCGACTTGGGAGGGGCCCGGGGAAGCCGCCCTTGCCAGCAGGCCCCGGGCGCCCCTGTGCTTAAACGGCAGCTTTGTTCTCTAGCACCTGCTGCTGGCGCCATCCGACGTGGCAGGCTGGGGCATTTTCATCAAAGACCCTGTGCAGAAGAACGAGTTCATCTCGGAGTACTGCGGGGAGGTAAGGCCAGGCAGCACGCTCGCCTGCGGCCGCTGTGTGGGTCACCCTGGGGCCGGTCAGAAATGGGTTAATACAAAAAGCTTTTTTTGGGCAGGCCTTCTGCTTGTGGGTTTGATTTGCTTGGTAATTGGACCTCTCAGTTCTGGTCACATTTTTCTCTGGGGACAAAGGGGAACAAACAGGAGGTTTGCCATGGAAGAGTCTGTCCTACTTAACCCCCAGTCTCACTCAAGGACCTGGGAGCGAGTGCCGCTCGTGGAGCCGCAGGGCTGGGTCAGCCCGCCGTTCGAGTTTCTCATTCAGTAGGAAAGACGCCTGTTCACCACTTTGTCAAGCCTCGCTCCTTGGGTGGGAAGTACCCCTGAGTCTAACTCCGTGAAGTCCACTGTCCTTTGGCCGGCACAGGGGCAGGGCGGTGGGCTTAGCGCTCCCGGCGCCTCAGGAAAGGCCCAGCTCTGCTGGTGAGCGTGAGCATGCGCTCACCTTCTTGTCCTCTCTGTCCTCAGATAATTTCTCAAGACGAAGCTGACAGAAGAGGGAAAGTGTATGACAAGTATATGTGCAGCTTTCTCTTCAACCTGAACAACGGTGCGTGTACGAGAGGAACGTGGTATCCAGGTGGCACTGGGGGCTATGTCCGGGTGGACCCGTGGTCCACGCTCCTGGCAGAGGCTCAGGAGTGGGCTGTCGCTTGCACGGAGGAACTTCTCCTAGGTAGAGCGGGTCAGGTTCCAGGGATGCGGTCTCGGAGCCACACCAGATGGGGTTCCCACTGCTGAGCCCTAATGGCGCGGGGTCTTGAGCCAGCTGGGCGCATGTCCTCCGGTGCTTGCCCAACCCAGGAGGGCGCGTCACTGGGTGGTTCGAGAACGCGAGGCTGGCGTCCTCGGGGCGGGCGGGGTCCGTGATGAAGAGCAGGTGCCTGGTAACCTGGGCTGAAACAGGGACAGTTTCTTCTGTGGACAGGCTCCACGAACAGAATAAAGATGAATTTTGGCTATGAAAATGTTTATTTTTTGAAGTTGTGAAGAATTTAGTCAATTTTTTGCAATGTTTTCCTCACTAATAGGCAGCAGCATTTGGTAGACAGCCTGAATGAGCAATTTTACCTAGACCAGCATTTTCTTACAAATGGTCATTTCACAATGAGTGAAGTTGGATGCATGATTTACTTGCTTTTGAAGGCAAACCCGGCAGAGCTGTGACTTGTATTTCCAAAGTCCTAGTAACTTAGCGTTTAGCGACTAAAACTGAAACTGTTCCTGCATTGTGCTTGTTTTTTCTCTCCAGATTTTGTGGTGGATGCAACTCGCAAGGGTAACAAAATTCGTTTTGCGAATCATTCAGTCAATCCAAACTGCTATGCAAAAGGTAGGTGCTTCTGAACGCAGGAGTCCCGTAGTCTGACGCCAGGGCCCCCGCGGGTCACACAGTAAACCGGAGCCAGCGCTCTGGGCCCGTGACCCCTTTCTTGACCCCGTCCTGTCTCCTTGCAGTGATGATGGTGAACGGCGACCACAGGATAGGGATCTTTGCGAAGAGAGCCATCCAGACTGGCGAAGAGCTGTTTTTTGATTACAGGTGAGTAATGGGACAGTTCTGGGGTGACCCCACAGCTCTCTCTCTTGGACTTGGCATTGGGGACAGAGGCTGTCTTTCTGCTCTTCCATGGATCTTGTGGTGTTGGAGGGATGAATTTTGGGTCATTCTCTGCCTTGGGCATGGGCAGGAGTTAAGTGGACATAGTTTCCATCCTTCTACCCTGCTGGTTAAGGGCTGGGCGGGGTCACGCCGCAGTGAGTGTGGCGTGATCTGCTGTCCTGGAGGGTGTGCCGGGCTTAGCGAGGGCCCACGTGCTGTCACTTGGAAGGCAGGACCCACAGCAGGGGCGGCTGTGTTCGCGGGGTGGGCCGTGGTCACGCCTGTCTCCTGCCCTTGCAGATACAGCCAGGCCGACGCCCTGAAATACGTGGGCATCGAACGGGAGATGGAGATCCCTTGACGTCTGCTACCTCCTCCCCTCCTCCTCCGGAACAGCTGCCTTTAGCTTCAGGACCCTCGAGTACTGTGGGCAATGTAGAAAAAGAAGATGCAGTTTGAAATCCTGAATTTGCAAAGTACTGTAAGAATAATTTATAGAAATGAGTTTAAAAATCAACTTTTTATTGCCTTCTCACCAGCTGCAAAGTGTTTTGTACCAGTGAATTTTTGCAATAATGCAGTGTGGTACATTTTTCAACTTTGAATAAAGAATACTTGAACTTCTCTCTTGTTGGTTGGCATCTACCGCGGAGCCTCAACTGATTTTAGAAAAGGACTGTGTCCGAGGAGACAAACTCACATGTGACACCTTTGGTTTTGCTTATTAGTATTCATTCACTTAATTACAACATTAAACATGGGGCCGGCAAACACCGGTTTACAGTTGTAAGTATGCAAAAAGTTTATTCTCATATTATCACTTTATGAACCCACTTTTGCTGCCCCCGTATACATGTAAATACGTAATCTATACACATGCAATACTGTACACTTTGCCTAGTCATACTTAATATTGACTGTTAATAACTAAGCGACTACCACTGCCTGCATCCTGAGATGGGGGTGGGGCGGGGCCAGGGGTCAGCCAAGGAGCCTCATCCCGCATGTGGGGTCAGTGCTGGCCGAGGGGTGCTCTGACTGCCTGCCTCGCTCTTAAATTCCTTCAGTCTGGACACAGCCCCTCGGGAACACAGCAGTGTGCCTGGGACCCCGTACCTCCCCACAGGAGGCGACGTCTCCCGTTGCCTAGCTTTCTGAAGAGGGTGTTCCTTTTTTTTAGGCCCCTCCTTCAAGTGTCAGGGGAGCCGCGCAGTGACAGACGGCATTGCAGCCCCTCCTAAGACACACTGACCCCTCCTGCGGGCAACGCTAGAAACAGCCATGGTCGGTCTGTGTGTAGTTGCTTTTTCTAGTTAAAGTTACTGCTTTATAATGTGATAATATTTAAAACTCACCTTCGGTTCCAGCGAGGCAAAGGCTGGTGAGACTGGTTTGTGTTCTGTCCGCGCACAAGCCCTAGCACCCGGAGGCTTGGCAGCAGCAGCAGCGCCTGGCCCCACACACCGGTCTCCTACGGCGTGCTCTACCCTTAGGCGCTGCCGCATTTCGTCTTGAACAACTCTAACCACCCCCCGCCCCGGTCTCCAGCCGGGAGCCGGTGCCACGAGAACTCCTGGGCTCAGCGTGGGCAGCCAGGCCCCACCCTCGGTGCCCAGGGGACCGATGACATGGCTGCATTCCGGCCACTGCCCCCCCGCTGCTCTCAGCCTGCCCACAGGCGCGCACGGCCGGGAGGCGGGACCCGGAGTCCCGGGGGGGTTCTGCTTACAGACTGTGCTGCAGACCCAAGTGCAGCAGCCGGCGGGCCGGACGGACAGCCGCCGCCGTGAATGCGCAGCCAGCTCTTTGTGCCTTGGCTGGAAACGCGCCTCTTCCTGGCAGAGCCTCTACCAGGACCGTTCGATGCGCACCCACTCACTGCCCCGTGGGGTCCTGGGCGTCCGCACGACACAAGTGGCTGGCTTCAGCTCTACCTCTGTGTGTGTGTGTGTGTGTGTGTGGGGGGAGGTGTGTGTGCACAGAGCAACACACAAGGTATTCGAACGCCCAATTGACGAATTGTGGACAAAAGCTCAGTTAAACAGCGTGCTCTGTCCCTCGTTCCCACACCGCCCCGCCCCCGCCCCCCCACGATTACCGAACACCAGTCTGACTTTCAACCGCCCATGGCACACAGGGGCTGAGCACTGCAGTTCCAGGGCTCGCCAGAAAATAGTTTTGCCCATCTGACCAAAAAGAAGAAAAGTGATAACTGATTCATTCACACCTGACAGCTATTGGGTTGGCGGTTGTCATCTTAATATGACAACCTAAGGGGAAAGATCCATGCCCCTGGCTGAACAGTCTGGCGTTGCGTGCTTCTAAAAGGCTTGCAGCACCCCGGCCGGAGGAGGTTGCTGCTGTCGGCTGCGCGCGCTTCCCTACCAGAGCAGCAAAGGAGCTGTAGCAAGTATTATAGCAGAGCACAGGCGGTCCACGTGTGACCATCCTCCTCTGAAGAAAAAGGGGGTCCGACAGACGGCAGGAGGCCCAGCTGGCCCCTAAGGTTTCTCCTAACAGTCACGGGGGAACCCTGTGAAGACTCCCAGCCCCAGTCCAGGCGGCACCTCGCCTGCAGGCGAACTTTTGCACCATAAAATAACACTGCTTTTGCTTGTCACCGTTCTTTTCAAGCAGTATTTTATAATTCTCATTTTAAAACACCAATTATAATCATCTACCCAGAAACTGCTGCCTAGCGACTTTTCACTACTGCCAGGTACGGTCGGCCCCCAGCCTCCCATGCACCCGTCCGCTGACTCGGTCCTGGTCCCACCCGCGCCCAGGTGCTCAGCGCCGCCCCCGCCCTGCCCAAGTCTGGGGGCATCGCGCAGGCCCTGTGCTCCTGCGGAAACTGGCCCAAGCAAACACCTGCTGCTCCCTCCGCTCCTTGTCATAAATGACCCATGAGGGTCCACAGCCAGGCGCACATAACCCCCATCTCCATGAAGTGGTTTACAAACGGACCCACTCACCTTTACGATTAAGCTACCACTTGGCTGGCCACTGGGGGACCAGAAAGAGACGTAGGGGTGCAACCGCAAACTGGCCAAGCCGCTGAGCTGCTGTGGTTGCTGAGAGGAGTGTCTTCAGAAGCAGATCCAGCTCCAAGAGATTGGGCAGCATGTCTCTGCCTGCGTGTGGCAAATCTTGAGTGTTTTCTAGAAATCAGACACCAGTGTTCAGCAAGGAGGTAGGTCATTCTCAAAGCTATCTGATGGGTCAATAAAAGTGTGGGAAATTCCAGGTGCTTCTTGTTTCTGCATCACCCGCCCCGCCCTTACTGGTCTCTGGGCTGGTGTTTTGCTGCTCTGACCGCTTCCCCAGAGGCGCTGCCCAGGCAGCCCAAGGCTACGCGGGACCTCCCGGACGGCCAGGCCCCCCCAGGAGAGTCCTACGTCTGTTAGCCTCAAGGTCCACTCCTCACACTGGCTTTTCCCATTTCCCCACAGGCAGGCAGGCACGCAGGGGAGCTCGACTGTGCGGCTTGCGTTTGGAGACTCCTGTCTGTCGTCAAGCGAGGATCTAGTTTGGGGAATAAAGGGGAAAAAAAAAGTCAGGACCTACGAGCAGGAGCCGAGCCCACCTGGGAGGCCTTGCTACCTTCTTCCGTTGCCCCTGCCCATCCCCGCCGTTAAACAGCACATTGGCCTAAGGCGAGGGGCAGGCACAGGCAGGGAATCCGAGGATGGGGGTAACTACCTCCTCACCCGTCCCTGTTCCTCTGCTTCCTGTGCTGACGTCTGGGCTTAGCCAAGGGGCTGAGTAACCCCAGGGTGCTCCCGATCGCGGGTGCCTGGCCCGTCTCGCTCAGCGACCCCCACCCCCACGGGCTCACCCCCAGTTCTGAACGTGGCGCCTGGGTGTACCTGTCCCAGAGGCCGACAGAGGAGCTGCGGGGAGGGCAGGTGTGCTGTGGCCTCGCGCCCCAGTCCCAGCCCAGGGCCGGGCCACAGGATGGGGGCGGGACATGTCCCCGGGTGGCTGCCCTGCTTTCGCCCAGGGGTCGTTTGAGATATTTATAAGCAAGTATGGAAACCATTACCTAAGTGCTTAAGTTTATTACTGTTACTTTTTATATCCTGTAACGTCTTTTAAACCTTTAATAAAACCCCGTTACGTGCCAGATTGCTCCAAGAAACTCTTAAGAACCTCACTTTTGCACGTTCCTTTGGCTGTGCTGCTGCCTCCAACTTTGAGGTTGAGGAGGAAAACGAACCTACGAGCAGGAGCCGAGCCCGCCTGGGAGGCCTCGCTACCTTCTTCCGTTTTCTGTTCTCTGGCCAGAAGCGAGTGAGGTGACGTGCTGACCATGGGACTGACTGTGGACAGAGACCAGAGACAGTGTTACGGGGACACGCAGGCTGGCACCCAGGCCCCCACGCTGGGAGTGGGTCTCCTCCCGGGCACACGGCCGCAAACATGCCAACTTACCAGCAGGTGCCTGAGTGCGAAACGCTCACTGGCTGGGCTCTGGTCCTGCTGCAGGGGCCCCTCAGTCGGGACAGCGGGGACTCGTGCCACTTGCTGGGATCCTGGGCGCTTCCCCAGGAGCAGCCTGAGTTCATCTTGAGCCGGGGCTTCTTGTGTTTTAAGAACTGCTTAGAACTGGAAAGGAGCCACGGGCCCCACCACACCTCAGGGTCCAACCCGGGCTCGGCCTCCCGGGCTCGGCAGCAGAGCACAGGCCGGGGCCACCGCCCCCAGTCCTCCCCGCGCCTCCGCTCGCTGGTGCCAAGCGCCCTCTTCTCTTCAGTGTCCCCGCTTGTGAGAAGAGGACCTGTCTCCCAGATCAGGTGGTCAGAGATTAGCCTGTTCGTATGGAATCAACGTGTCACTGACCCTCACTTGCCACCTTCAAGTTACTGGAGGAAGTCGTCAAAATGAGCATCCACGTTTGCAAAAAAAATTACAAGGGGACTCAAAATTCTAAGCTCTCATAAAACATTCAATCTAAAGAACTGCCGCCTGTTAAGACTTCAGGAAGACACTGGGAATATAAACTTGCACAATCGTTATATCTTTTATTTACATATAGAAATTAGTAAAACTGAAAACAAAACCAAATGCAACTTGTACAGAAATCCTTTAATTTTCTTTATTTCCACACATTAAAAAATGAAACACACTATACAAATGGTTTCTCCGAGCAGTCGCACGCGGTCCGCGCGGACGCCTCCCCCGAGCGCCGGCCTGGGAGGGCCGCCGGCCGGCCGCGGGGAGCGCGCGGCCAGAGGGTTGGTGGGGTGCGGCAGCATGCAGCCCTCAGCGCGGGAGGGGCGGTTCCCTCTGTTCTTAAATTAGGTTAAATGGCATCGGTGTCCTTATTTACAGACTGGAAATGTATCGATCCTGAGCAGCTCCGATGGACAGCTGAGGCCGGCTGAGGGGAGTCTTGGTCTCAGTCGGAAGAGGCGGGCCCGTGGCGGCGGCAGCTGCTGGGGACGGGGGCGTCCGGCGGCAGCACGGTCAGAGCCCCCGGCAGGGCTAGGCCAGGTAGCTGTAGGTGTCCTTTTCCCCGTCCACTCTCTCC